TTCTGGGAAGAGAAGAGGAGGCCAAGTCAGGGGTAGGTTGGGAGACACCCCCTGGTTTATCCAGAACTACCTTTCTCAAAGTGTGGTCTGTGAAACCCTGAAGTATCTGAAAGCCTTTCCTGGGATGTGGGGGGTCAAAACATTTTGCAGGAGATGGAGGACATCTTTGCCTTTTCACTCTGCTGACATGGGCGCTGAGGGAAAGATGAGTGAGAATCATTGATCTGCTGCCTCCTGCACACCACACACTTTGGATTGAGCCCAAAATCCAGGCATGTGCCCTTGACTGGAATGGAACCTGAGACCCTTTAGTCCGCAGGCTGAAAATCTAACTACTGAGCCACTCTGGTCAGGGCCCAGTTTATCTTTTAAACAACACGGTTGAAGGAGGTGAAATTATTATCTTTACTGAAGCCTCATCGTTCCATCGACATTTTTAAAACATCGTGGCCTCCAGTGAAGAAGACTCAAAGGTGAACGCGGTGCCTGCGTCGCCCACACCCACAGAACAATGACCACCACCCTCCCCACAACCAGCACTCAGATCTGCCTGGAATCCGCCCAACAGGATCCTACAGCAGCCACAGACTCAGAGCCACAGAGAGCAGACTGCTGGCTGCTGCAGGGGAGGGACTGGGCACAGCAGGTGAAGGAGGAGGAACTATAACATGGTCCTTAAGTGTGGACATGGGGAGGGAAAGTACAGGACAGGGAACACAGTCAATCACATTGTACCAACTACACGTGAGGTCACATGGTACTAGATGTATGGGGGTGATCACTGTATAAGTTATATGAATATCTAATCACAGAGTTGTACACCTAAACTAATACAATATTTTACATCAACTGTAATTGAAACATTAAAAATATTTTTAGCCGAAACCGGTTTGGCTCAGTGGATAGAGCGTCGGCCTGCGGACTGAAGGGTCCCGGGTTCGATTCCGGTCGGGGGCATGTACCTGGGTTTCGGGCACATCCCCGGTGGGAGATGTGCAGGAGGCAGCTGATCGATGTTTCTCTCTCATCGATGTTTCTAGCTCTCTGTCTCTCTCCTTTCCTCTCTGTAAAAAATCAATAAAATATATTT